ATTTTAGAAAAGAAATTTAGAGTGAATATCTCTGCTTTTAACTTTTGTTCAGATGAAGGCAAGATATGATTTGAATATGTTGACCTATTATCTGGAGCCACATATAAAAGCTGTAATTCAAAATAAAAAAAATCACATAGTGTCCCTTTAATTTTACAGACAGCCGGGAGGGAGGCAGAGTCAATGTACTTTTGCCAATACAAATTATAATCAAATCAAAATATTATTACCACAAATAAATGATTAGTTTTAATAGATACGTTTTGATAAGTCTTACAAAAACTACAGTATCACGCCTAACGTAAACTCTGCTTTATCAAACCAAATCACCCTCTGTGTGATCGATTTGTGCAGAAAGATGGTGCATTGACGTGGACCAGGCTTCTCTCGTGCGGGTTGGATTTCAGCATTGACCTCTGTGCCGATACATGTAAGTCAACGCGCCGCTCCCATTGTCCTTGTATGACATCACACTAATGGCCTCTTGTGCTGGAGGCTCGACACGCCACACACCCCCCTCTCTCGCTCTTCTGCCTTTGCTCAAATGTTTCTTGAATAATGTATCAATTTTATACAGAAAAAGCCAATGTTTGCATTTCTCTTTTGCTGCTTGCCTTGCCTCTCCATCCATCTCTTCCCTTTTTCTCTTCTCTATTCTCCATCTGACGCACACATGCATGAACTGAAAACTGTTTATAGGATGTTTTAGCACATTCATCGTTACATTCAAATCCAAGGCCATGGCTCTCGCTTAGAAAAAAGGTGCCCTGTCATGTCGGAGTGGTTCAGAAGTCCTTCCCTAAATGGAAAAGTTCAAGTATCTCTTGTTTGGTTCACACAGAATGGATCGTGTGGCTAGAGAGGTCATAGATTGTGTTTCCCCCACAGAGTGACTGGGCACATCCATAGAGATATGGTGAGATATGGTGAGGAGCTCAGTAAGGCTGGAGGAGCTTCAAGTAGAGACGCTGCTCCTCCACATTGAGAGGAAGCTGCTTTCAGATGCCTCCTGACAACCACCTCTTCTCTGCTCCCCACACTTCCTTTGTGGCCAGCACTGAATAAAGCAGAGGAAGAAGGGCAAAGATGACTGAATGTTATAATTTATCACACGTATGTCAAACTCAGGCTCATGGGCCAAATCCGGCCCGCAAGACATTTTTATTTTCATTTCAAATATTATTATTTGGGGGGGGGGGCAGTAGCTCAGTTGGTAGAGCATTGGCCTTTAGGCCTGAAGGTCGTGGGTTCAATTCCCACCATGATACCTTCTCCACCGGCTCCCACTGATGACTGCTGTCGTTGTGTCCTTGGGCAAGACACTTAACCCCACTTTGCCCAAAGCCCCCACTGAAAAGATCAAGGCTATGCTCACACTCAGAGAGCAGCCGTCCTCCTGTGGACTCACCACCTGCAGAGGATCAGTGAGGGGCTGGTGCTATGAGACTTGGGTGGCATCTCTGATTGCCACCCCCCCGACCCAGAAATGGATTAAGGGGTAGAAAATGGATGGATGGATATTATTATTAATTTGCAGATAATCTATTTTTTGAAATAAAAACAACAATATTAATTCATTCTAAAAGTGTAGCCCAACACATCAATAGAAGTGAAATTTTTAAATATAAAACAATGGGTTTTAACTAAATCTAAACAATACAAAAACACATTTTGTTTTCGGGGGAAAATAAACAAAAAACAAACTGTTAGTTTCTGGAACTCATGTAACATACAAGTCATGTCAAAATACCTTCATAATGTAAAACACTATTCCTTCTATTCATTTGGCGTCTGACCAGTTCCTACTTTTTTATCCATCCTTTCACCAAAACGAGTTTGACAAAAATGTCGTTATTAGTACATTTTAGATTGGTATGCCTCAATACTTTTACTCTGATCCGTTTCCTGCACTTCTCTGCTCTCCACCTCACTCTTTCTCGCTCTCTCATATCTTTTTTGCACATAGGAAGGTCACAAGTTCAGTCTTGCGGTTTTGCAGTTTGCAGTTTACATGTTTCTTCTTCTGTCTGTGTTTACCTCAACCAAAAACACGCAGCAAACTTTATTCACTCCAATCAAAGGACTTGACCGAACCTGGCGCAATATCTGGAGACTGGTCCGAATGCATGAGAATACGTGTCTAACTTCATCTTAAAGCAAATAGCATTTACTTTTAAACTGTACATATATATATACCTGTATACATTTCAGTTCAGAGTCATGTCCCTCCTTATACTCACCCATCTATCTCTCCCTCTTTGGATGCAACTCTTCTTTCTGAAAATAGAGTGCAGAAGAAGGCTGTTGCTATGGTGATACATCCACTAGCGTTGCCCGGGACATTTTTAGCCACACGGCGCGCGCGGAGGGGATTTAGCTCGCCCATAACTTTCTGTAATTTCCATTCTAATTATATCAGTCCTGGCTGCGGCCGTGTGCCACCACATGGGGTAAAAGAGCAGAGCGTGGCGCGGGTGCAGGGAGCCCGAGTGCCCGCAGCCCGTAACCACGACAACATATTCTAACACACTCACACACATGCACACGCTGACGGACGCACACACACACACACACAAGAGAGGGAAGTGCCGGGGCAGAACAGTCATGCTGCCTCATCGTCCCACATTACTCATGAACTTAGTCCTTTTTGCTGAATTTCATTTTGCTGCTTTTTTTTAGAATTTGTAAAGTCTTGAGTTGATGGTAAATATGTGGGGACCTGATTCTTCTTTTGCAGAAATATGTTTCAAGCAGATTTTTGTATTATAATCTAAATAGTAGGGCTCTAACAAATTAAATACAACCCATCAATTGTTCCTGGGAGCAACATAAGTCAAAAAGTGTGAGATGTGCAAAGCTTTGGAAAAGTTTTTTTAACCTAATCATGCTTTCAACTTCTCTGAAACTTCATGAGGATGTTTAGAGACAAATACTCAAATCAAATCAAACCTCTGTAATCATGCAAAAATCAGAATACACTGTTATAGACCATAATGAGCGTTCATCAGTCATCAGGTAACTATTGGTGGCACTCAGGGAATATGAGGCTGAGTTTTCTAAAGTATTAAATAATTTATCATTTTTCTTTTCACATTTGTTTACCACTTTGCATTGGTCAGAATTGTTGATTATCGGTCTATTTGGACAGAGAAAAAGCATGTTGTTACTTTCTGATAATTTCCTGCTGCACCATAATTATTAAAATAATTGAATGTATTCTTGCTCAAAGTAAAATTACGAGCATAATTATGAAAAACACTTTGCCATATTAAAACATTTTGGCCCCGAAAAAACAAACTCAAAATTGACCCAGTAGTCGTTTAAAGTCATGTCAAGAAGAAGATATAACATGATATGACAAATTAAAGAAACATTTTGAGCATAAATCTTCACTCCAGAGCGCCACAGCAGCAGCCCCGCCCCCAGTGCACATGGGAAATACAAGTGTGGAGGGTGTGGGTCCTTAGGGCTTCAGTCTGTATAATGCTGCTTAAGCACACATTCAGACTGGAGGACCAAAAGAGCCACACTGAGTCCCCACTCTCTACACACCTCACAACGGAGCTCATCAGCTGCATTTGAACAGAGCCTCTCAGTTCTCTGCAGCTTCAAGCTGCTGTTCAAGCAGCAACCCACCTCCTCCCCATGACCACTATTCAGTGGAGTATTATATAATCCCTTCGGCTCTGCTTCTTCGCCACCAGGGTCTACTGTATGCCCCGAGCGGTTCACAAGGTCATATCATTTCTATTAAACTCCCTCCTGCATGCAGTATTCCTGCTGGTGTCTAGGGTTAGGGTCATGTTCACTTGCGAATCTTAATGAACATTATATGTTCAAATGAAATACATACATTAGTCCCCCATCAAGCGTCTGCTGGGTTTAATGCAATCTTCACAATAAATATAATTCTAATGCAATCATTGTCTCGAGTCTTTCCAGATTGAAATGCTCTTAGGATTCATGGTGTAACATGATCATTCAATTCAGAACGAGAGAGACCAGTGGTACTGGGAGAGGGTAAACCAGAGCACGCTGAGGCAGGGAGGAGCATGTTGCCGTGGCAATCTGATACTCGCCGACTCACACACACACACACACACACTTTCCTGTGTTTGTGTGACTTTTGGGGGTATTTCATACACTTTCATTTATCCTTAATACTTCTGCAATGTTGATAACATTTCTGCCCAATCTGGACCCTTCGTCCACCGCTGACACCAGGTAGATTTGTGTCAGAGGTGATCGAACACAGACGTCCAACCTATTTTGATCAAATTAATTACAACTTGGGGACTTGGGGCGTACAAACCAAGTGACTAGAGACAACCATAGATTTCTCCTGGGAGCACCAGGGGTTGCTTGGAGATGGTGGCCTGCAGCCTGTGCATCTTTCTCTTGTGTCTGACTTCCTGCTCTCCCATGGTCATTCTTTGTTGTAGATTAATAAAGATTGTGTGAGTTTCTCATTTCTTTTGTTACGTCCTGAACCTGTGAGTGCATGTGTGTTTGAGAATCTACCGTTTGCCCTCCACTTGTCTATTTGAGGTCAGGATGCTTTGAAGTGCAACCAGAAAAACACATCAATTTCCAAAATATGAACTGCTAGTAAAGACTTGAAAAGAGCTCAAACCATAGGACGTAGACTTATGACCCATTGACTCAAGACACGACTCGTACAGACAAGAACTTGATCCTGCATCTGACCCTTACCATTGTTATAGATTTGTCCTGTAAAGGGGAATGCACAATGTTGTAAAGCAAACAGCAATAAAACAAGCATCCTAAGGTGGAAGGATATAATGGTAAATAAACATTCAAACAGTCCCAATAAAAACTGGTGTGGGTTCAGCAAAGCCTTGAACCACTGCTCAAAAAAATACAAATAAAAAAGTTCCTATGAGTTGGATTGTGGTTAAGTTGGAGTCCCTGGTTGGCCCAGTAAACATGTGCACACACTCTTCTGCTCTCGTGTAATAGAAATCCTCTGGTCGAACACATCACACGACAGAGTGGCTCAGATTAGAGCTGCGGCTGCACTGCGAAGCCAGCAGGGGGTCCGGCGAGCACTAATCACTGCACATCACATAATGCTGCCAACACAAAAGGACACTCAGACGAGCACTGCACGCTTCATAATGCCATTTAGGAATCTGAAGCTAAAATTATCAGAAGGAAGAGAGAATGAAAAGAGATTTTTTTCTTCTACTTCTCTTGTATTTTGTTGTATTCTGGTTCACTTGTTTCAGTGTACAGTATGAGCTCATCTACTATCTGTACATGTATATTGACATTATGTGAAAACATCTCACTTTTGCCTGTATGGAGTATGGTTAATGACTGTAAAACATTGCAGACAAGACATGGAGTTCATTCATCACTCGAAGAAAGCAATGTCAATTTTCTTGTTTTAATTTTCTAACGAACTAGGCCAAGTGGCCCGGAGCGTCACCACAGGGGTGTAAAGACGGCCCGCGGTCAGAAGTGTGTGCGGGCGCGCGGCGGACACAGGAGCACACCTCAGAGTAAACAGCGTGAGCCTGCAAATGAATGAATGCAGTCAGAGCTACACCCAGTACACAGAGCACCAGCCCCTCACTGATCCTCCTGCAGGTGGTGAGTCCACAGGAGCTGAGATCTTTCAGTGGGGGCTTCAGGCAAAGTGGGGTTAAGTGTCTTGCCCAAGGACACAAATGCACCATGTTTAAAGCAAATGTTAAATTTTAGTCGTTTCACTCCCACATTAATCTGAGGTATAGATTGCCAGGATCTGTCTGTTGTAAAAGTAGATCTTGGTTTGATAAAGTGTGGCCAATATGATACAGTATCAGTCTAAAAAAATAAACTCTAATAGAGTTTTAATGTAAAACAAATGAATGTTAAAAACATTTTATGTTGTTTGGTTCATTGTTCTTTCTGATCTCGTTTCACTTACAGTACAATATTTTGCTTGTATTAAAAGATATACATAACAATTCTCTCACGACCTCCAGCTAGAGCCCCACGACACCCATGATAGTCCTAAATCCTGACCCTCATTTTGGGATCAGTACAAGACATAATACACAAAGAGATGATGGAAAAAAGGTATTGAAAATCATATCAAGAATTTTCAATATGCATCAAAAAATATGAAGTTCTCATCTTTCAGATCCCCCCAAAATAACCTGTCCAAACAATTTCTTACACCAAGGAGTGCTTTAAAAGAGCAAAACAATCGCTCGTTGGGTTTGGATACAGCCCACTCCAACTGAGATAAACACGCACACACTATGTTCCAGGACGAAATATTGCGCCCACCATTTGTAAATTATAAAACACGACACCTGCTCCAAACCAGCTCATTTACCGCAACAAACACACACTTGGACTCAAACTTTTCCCAGTCGTCTTGATGAGCCAGGCGATAGAAATAGCAGTCGCAGCCTCCAGTGTTGGCGACCGCTTTTATCCATTTGCCATGACGGTGCCGGGGCTGAGGCGAGGTGTGTTCAACTTAACCAAAGTGAGAGATTATTCAGAAAGAGCGTTGCCTTTAAATAATTCATGCACATCAAAGACCTTCTTCATTGGACCTCATGAATAAACCACTGCACGGGTCAAGCTGCATGTTCCACTGTGAGTTTACAACCGGCAACCTGAGGGAAATGCTCAAAGTTATTAAAATCCAGAAACACATGCACCAAAATACAAAAAAAAAAAAAAAAAAACTAAAATGCACTGGTTGGGAGATTGGAGGTACAGAAATAGGCCAAGTCAGACAGGCAACTCTTACAGGAGTTGACACATAGAGTTGTTGAGCAGTCAGAAGATGTTAGATGAGTTGTGCTTTAATGTTTTAAGAGAGTGGTTGTTGGGAAAACCGTTCCGCTGACTCAGACAGAATTATGCTGTAAAAAAAAGGTTGTATATGAGCTGTATTTGGGAATTAAAGAGTGAAAGCAAGTGTTCAGTAATTGAAATGTTAGAAGACGGTGGGGGAAATAGAAATAACCAGAGTTTGTTGAAGAAGGAAATGTTGCAGTTATGTCACTGCTCAGCTGGAGGGAGGACGAAGGAAGGGATTGTTAGAGGACGCTTGACAAGTTTGAAGGGTTGTAAGATGTTTTCTTGATGTGTTTCTGGTTTACGGACAGGTAGAACATAACTTGTGGATCAAAAAGTTGTTGTATACCTGCTGATATTCCTAAATAGGACATATTATAAGTGAAAAACGCAATATTACAGGACAAGAGACTGGACAGGAGATGCATTTGTACTGAGAGCTCATTTCAAAAACTTTGCAGTGACCACGACTGCATCAAAGCTTCCAAACTTTTAAGTTACCATAGACAAGCGGTCTGTGGTACTTTAGTATCTGAGATAGTGATTGGTTTGTTCACAGAAAGATCTAGTTACAGCAGGAAGGTCAAACATGCTCCAACACCATTTTACTGCCCAAGAAAGGATTTTACATTTCTTCATTCACTTTATTATTGAAAGACTAATCTTGAGATGATATATGTCATTTTGAAGGTTGTGTTCTTATAATAAACATGGGTCAGGGGGGTAGCAGTCAGAGCTGCACCCAGTACACATAGCACCAGCCCCTCACTGATCTTCCTGCAAGTGGTGAGTCCACGGGGGGGGCCTTGATCTTTCAGCAAGGGCTTCAGGCAAAGTGGGGAAAAGTATCTTGCCCAAGGACACAACGACAGCAGACATTAGTGGGAGTCGTTATCGTGGTGGGCTAAAACCCATGACCTTCAGGCTCTAAGGCCAATGCTCTACCAACTGAGCCACTGTTGCCCCTTTAATCAGTAATTAAAATTAGTGGAGTTAAATAAAAATGAAAAAAGTTGGTCCATCAACACACTACTTGTTCCATCCCATGTTACAGTAACTGAAGAAAATTTACAGGAAAAGAATATCCAAATTCATGTTAAATTAGTTAACAGGTATGTCTCCATAATGTAAAAAGTAAAAAAACAAAAAAAGTATTAAAAACCGCAAATGCAAAAAAACAAGAAATCTATTGAAACCTTGGTAAGGAAGCCTGAAAAAAACATTCTGAGGTCTCAAATCAGTATGAGACCACTTGGGTTCCACAGTAAGCATTTTCTCATATTTTAATGAGAGTGAATTGGAGCCAGAACCAGCAGGATTCAGAATCATGTTCAAGTTGTTTGCAGAACTTTCTATTATCAACCCACTTACACCCTTTTGACAAACCTTTCTACTTCTGGGCGAATCATATACTGGAGCAATCTGATTCCGTTTCATCAGCAGCTACATTTGAATAAGTTTAGTTACGTAAATACCGTTCAAACTGGTCCGCACTCCAAACCGTCTCCCTCTGAGCTTTGTCTCTTGAACTCAGACCCGTGTACCACTAATCCAGCTGACGTAGCGCTGTTTCTTTGACCACGACGTCTTGTATTTCCCGGTGTCATTTTACGGCCCATTAGCGTTGCTGGTGTTCATTAAAGACGACTGGCCTTCAGCAGATGTGGCACCAACAACTAATTACAACTTTTAGCAGCCGACGCCCCCAACGCTCACTCACTGTCACTGCTGCTAATACCCAAACAGAACGTGCGCACTGCAGAAGTCTGGCTGAAGAGACAAGACCAACAACTTTAGTAATGCAATGTGGTTAGTCCTGATGAAGTCCCAGGATTTAGTCCAGGGCTATTAATCCCAGGTTTTGAATGAGTGCTACGATCTATGGTTTGGTGTCAGGGCCTTTTGGAGCGATTGGAACCATTTCTGAACTCGGAACCTTGTAAAGCGCCTTGGGCAACCTTCTGTCTGTAAAAATGTGATTTATAATTAAACATTTCTTACTTACTTGTGTCTTTCTTCTCCGTTTATTCGTTTCCAGATAAAGATCCATTGGCATCAGCGGCACAATAGCAGCTTTTTCATCCCTTTTGGTCACATACCACAAATCTACAGTTGTTGAGTTTTTCAGACCCTCATGTAGAATAAATATTTTGTTTCATTTCAATCATAGTCTAATCACACCTGTCTCTACAAACACAAACCATTATGTGATTTGGTAGAGTGTTCTGCCCTCGATACTTTGGCTAATCTAGGCAGGCAGATAACCACAACAATAACTATACTGGTGTCTCCTTTTCCAGGTTTTAGAGTGGTAAAACTGAATTAAATAAATAAAAATAGTGTTGAAGTTTTGCATTCAAACTACATGTAACACTGGCAAGTTGCTGCTGAACAAATACAAGGCTAATGCTAATGATATAAAGAGCACAAAGGATATGCCTGTGTTGCACATATATGAAGTGATATCAAACTTTAATGTAAACTCTAAAAGCCTAAACCTTTTATATCTTTGTGCAATGTGTGTTTCATTTTGCGTTCCGGGCATGTTCCTGAAGCACTTCAATAGGGAAACTACTGGGACACTTCCGAAACAGATGCCCAAGCCACCTCAACTGGCTTCGTTCAACGTGGGGAGAAGCAGCAGCTTTACCCTGAGCTCCTCCAGTGTGACTGAGACACTCACCCTACCTCTAAGGGTCTCCCAGCCACTTTGCAGAGAAGACTAATTATGACATCTTGTATCTCATGCTTCTGATCATGATCCAAAGTTCCTGATCATAGGTGAGGGTGGGAATGTTCAGAGAGGACTGTTCACCACAACAGTCTGACAGCGACATCACTGCACACGCTGCACCGATCTCACGCTCTTCACCACCTGGGTGAAACCACACAAAATGTTGATTCATATTGTAAAGTTAATTAAACTTACTTTATAAACATTTCAATTGTCAAAACCTGCACCTAGTTAAATATGTGCTGCACTGGAAGCAGCGCTAGTTCATAAGGAATGTCAATCATTAATTTCGATAAGGTTAACCACGTTTCTTGACAGTCTTCCTCCAAAATTCTTTTCACAACTTCCACAGAGATAAATTACAAAGTTTAGCTTCCAAAAATCTCATAGTGAACTGATATATATATATAATTTATATATATATATATATATATATATATATATATATATTATATATATATATATATATAAAAAATTGTCCACTCACCTTTGGCCCTCCGCGGGCGGTTATCCCTCTCTAAGCTCGGGTCCTCTACCAGAGGCCAGGGAGCTTGAGGGTTCTGCGCAGTATCTTTGCTGTTCCTAGCACTGCACATTTCTGGACCGAGATGTCCGAGGTTGTTCCGGGGATCCGCTGTAACCACTCATCTAGCTTCGGGGTCACTGCCCCGAGTGCACCGATCACCACGGGCACTACTGTCACCTTTACCCTCCAGGCCCTCTCCAGCTCCTCTCTGAGACCTTGGTATTTCTCAAGCTTTTCATATATATATATATATATATATATATATATACTTTGCAATTTTAAGTTTTCTAAATGCTCTGTTTGTATTTGCCACAGACTTTGAGTATAATCGGACCACTTCAGAATCAAAGTTGCAACAATATCACTCTCAGAGCTGACGCGCATTCAAAATTCCCTTTTTCAATCGAATGATTGGCGAGATGCCCAGTGATGAGGGAGGCTGGAGGAAGACACATAGTTTTTACCTGTCAGCTAAATGGACTTCAGCAGCGGGAATACTGCGCCGTTTGGATTTGTTCTGTGGCTTTTATGGATGTAAAACACGGCAACCACAAGAGACCAGAGGAGCTTTGACCAGAGGAGCCACAGTCTTTCAGTGAGACCAGCAGGAGGATGTTTTCTGATAAAGCTGATAAAAGTGGCCTCTGTTTGTGATCTAAATCCCGGAAAGGCTATAAACACATTTCACACACAATGGGCTATTAGTGTAAGAATATAGGCAGATTTGTTCACAATAAAGTTAGATTTGTGTGGTTTTGTGCTTCTGGTGCTTTTAAAAACACAGTAAAGCAGGCGGTAAGTGTGAATCGAAAGGGTTGTTCTTGGTGGAAAACCCTGCGATTTTGGTCAGTATAAAAACTCCCTTTAAGTTTAACCCGTCTTCATCTGCTGCTGTTCCTGTCACTTCTGTTTGTGACTCTTTTCTCCCCTTATCGATCTCCTGCACCTGTTATTTTTATTCTGAGCTCTCACACGTGCGCAGCCATTCCTGGTTTGATCCAAAACAAATTCTTTACACTCGGATCATGCAAGAATGTGGTTGTATCGGGCCGAGACCCAGATTTCCAGCCAAACCAGAGGGATTAGGGGGGTAATTCATAGCGTGATTTACAGTATACCCCCTTGTGGCAGCTCTGTTCCTAAGCAGTGTATGTGGAAGTGCGAAAGTTTTTCTCCAACTCGCTCGATCTCTGCAACAGTTTGTCTCACACTTACCATTTTGGGATTACGAATCGGTGGTGTAACACTCTGTATGATCCTGGTGTTTTGATATTGTGATATTGTCTTTGTAAATCCAGTTGTTGGGGGTAACAACGGACTAATCAAGTGCCTATTGCTCAGCACACGGTTATTGTCCACTTTAGGTCTATGGTCCAAAGTGCCCTCCCTGTCTCCAGTGTCGCACATTCCTCCACACTTCTCGACCATATTTAGACCCAGCGTGTTATAGATCAGGCCTTTTAATTATTCATTTGTAAACCCTTTCCCGCTAGACTCCATCATAACAATCCATTATCGAACATCCGCCGACCACTTTCCCATTCTGCAGCTCCTTCATTTACTTGCTCGCCATGAAAAACAATTACTGGAAAACAACCTGTGTGCACGTTACCCTCTGAAAAGATTGAATTTGTTTCGTCATTTGACTTTCTTGCGTTGCCTTTACAAATTACGTTCTTCTAGAAATATATAATGAACACAGTGATACAATATTAACGATTCTAATTGGACAGTCTATTAATTTTAGCATGCTTCAAAAGTGGTTTTGCACTGATGACGTTGTTCCCAAAATGAATGGCAAACAATGTATGACAATTAATCTGTCTGGCTTGTATAACTTTGCACCGGAGTCATTACTCTTGTGCTGACATCGGTATTAACATTTCACAATCAAGTGCTATACCCTTCTCTACAAAGTAACATGATACGTTCTTGAAATATGTAGCTTTGATTCTCCAAATTACCTTCTTTAAAGCACCCAACGGACTAGATGGCATTTTTACATGACTCTTGAGACTGCCCCTTACGCGTAATGCAAAATGTGAAATACATTAACCTGAGTGCTTTTCTTAATGCCAAGATAGGTCACTTTCACCAGTGGTATTTCAGTGTCAACATCTAAAATCAAACCTTTGGCCTTTATAGGTACAGTATACTTGCATTTCTATAGGAAGTTCTTACATTGTACAGTAGAATTTCTATTTACCCATAGAACAGTAGATTTAGTTGTTTCAAGCGGAATCAAGATTTTTTCTCATGTACAGTGTTTTTGTTTTGTTTTTGTTTTTTTTGTTCTATAAGTAACTCAATAAGAAAAAACTCTAGACAAACATGCATTGGATGTTATTTGTTGAGCATGAACATAATTGTGGCTGCATGATTCGGCAATTAGACCCAACACATGATGTCTTACTAATATAATCATTTCCATTTGAACATGACAGGTTCAATAAGATTTTGGAGGTTAGACCCTGACAGAAATAGTTCATGATGTATGCAAGAGGGAAGAAGTGAATAGTTACTCTCCTAGCTACAATCTTCGACATGTCATTTTAGCAGTAAATTTGAAAAAATTTGCACAAGAAGGGGTAAAACTTTATTTGTATGATACTAAAATATATCTGGCTCCCAAGCTTCAGATCAGGCAACCGTGCTATATATACAATTTATACCTGCAACAGACTAGTGGAGGATGTAGAAATTGAGAAGACATGAATGCTGCTCGGATACGTCTGTTATAGATGCAAAAAAATAATAATCAAAACTACTTTTAACAACACAGAATTTTGTTAAAAGCCTTTATAACCACATGGCAGTTAATGTTAAAAAGCCATTGCATTTCGCCAGAAGGTCTTCATCAGAGCATTCATCTCTAAATAGCTGCCTCTGTCCAGTTTTATGCAGGTAAAAGAAAACAGGTGACATCAGCTCACACAGTTTTGTAATGGCAAATTAAGTCATTTTCTAAACCTTTTAAAGATAAATATACACATCTTCATCACTCCCAGTGTAAACAACTTGTGCTACATTTACACATTTACTGCTGCAGAATATTCAAAGCTATGTAAAAGATTTTTTTTCTTGTATGTTCACTATTGCCCAAGTGTATTACCCTTCTTGTTGCAAGTGCTTGACCTTTGCACAACACACCCACATCTTGTCTGCAAATCGACTCTAGTTATTTAGGGAATTCACATTTTCTGGCAGAGAATATGGTAAGAGCATCACATCCACTTGAACAACTTGATTTAATAACAATTGAACTGATCATGGGCCTCCTGTATAACCTAAAGAGACAAATTGCTGTATATACATAATCTTTGAACAGATTATAAATTATTTGTATTCATGTTGACCCTTTCAAATGATCTAGATTACTTTGACACATGTTATTGGACTTATGTCTGTGTACATAAGAGTCATGAGTTATGAAAAGTCAGTAAACATGTAGTGTCAGTGGGATTAACAAGCCAATGCAAACTATTTTATGCACGTTCAAACTTGTTTATATAGGCACACAGCTGCATAAACTGTTACAGATCAGTGATTCAGAATGTGTTTTGTAAGCGAGGACAGGGTCAAAATAAGATAGTGCTAAGAAATCCTGATACAAGGGTGGACAGGGCAAAAAAAGACTATGTTTCAATGTGGCAAGAGCTCTGGTGTGTGTCGTCTTCTGGTGCACACCGGGGTAGTCTTGTACAGTTTTCCAATGTGGTTTTACTGCAAATGGCAAATAAATGAATCTCATCTCATTACTGAGCTATTTAAAAAAAAAAAGCCTATGTTTGCATAATTCATGTCATTTTTAACCTGTGAGTAAACTCATACTTTTGCTCTCTGGCGCACACATGCTGCATCACTTGTCTGCAATGAGAAAACGCTGAGTAGTCATTTTTGTGCCATTTCGGTTATAGGGAAGTTGGCCCTGGTCAATGTAGCCTGACTCTTCCCCTCTGTCTGGGAGCTTTGGACATAGTGACCCAGATTTTCCAGCCATTACAAAAGACGGTAAACGCCTGTCTGCTAAAGCTAACTCCAGTCGTTTTGCATAAATTATTATTTTTTGTGTGCAAATTAAGGCATACAGTTGGGCCATGGTACAGACACAAAGCAGTGTGGCCTAGTTTTTCTGGTGGCAGGTTAATGTAACAGAGTTGGTGGTATTTTTAAATGTGCACATTCAGCCTCAGCAGATTTGGCTCTTGGAATAAGTCTGAAGCTCTGGCAAACGGCCTATAGCATCTTCCTGTGTGGGTTAACATTAGCGTCTCTGTACTGTGGTTAGCCAACTGGTATAATTAGCAGGTCTGAGATAAGCCAGATAGTGGCTATTTGAACTTGTCTTCATATTGGAGTTGGCGTTTTACTTTGTTGATGGTGGGATCCGACTAAATTCAGCCATACTGTACATCTGAAATCGATAATAATTATATAAGGCCACGCAGTCACTCAACACTCAAGAGCTTTCCAAAGGTTCCTTCTTCTTGATACCATTGAGCCTACTTACTTTGGCTACCCTGTCTTCAAATCTGTCTTCAGCCGGTCACTGTTCCTTTTCCGTGTACATTGCCCAGACTGGCGCCACCCAGTACCTCCGCACAGTTTCATTTGACTCCAGCTACTCCGTCAAACACATTGATCTATAATAATAACAGAATAGGGTATTACTAGCAAATAGCTGAAGGACACACGGGTTCGGAGGCTTCCCACGGTACTGCAGACGTTATTGTCCTGCTTCCTCAATACGTCACGACCACACAGCAGTGATTGGTTAAAGAAAAAAGGTACCCGCCCTCCATAGAGCAAAAAGTTCTAAAATTTCATACAATTTATACAAAGTGAAATAAAACCGGCTGAAACTTTTTCCTACACGTGGTTACCTGGTTTACAACTTTGAGAATGCTTCAAAGTAAAGTCACTTTCTGCTGGGATTTGTAAAATAATAAGCAAGGTTCACAGGTCAGGAGTCAGATAGAGGACAGGCATAAGTACAGGGATTAATTTTATAATTTTTGACATGGTAAGATTGGGCTATCAGTGGCTGCAAACATGTCCAGATTCAAGGCAATGTTCTGTCCTATCCGTCCCAAAATATTTGCCTGGATATTTTGAACTTAGTGCGGTGACAACTGAACTCTGTTGGTTTGTGGCTTTGCGAAAATGGAAAGGCAAACACGAATGCCCTTTGTAAGCCGCTGTAGACTTTTGCTCAAGTAAAACCCTGTTGGACTCAGCGCAAGGATGGAATCAATAGCCCCCCTTCTTCTCTCTCACCCGTCTTGCTCAATCCCTGGGTGACTCGCTTCCTTGTTGCCGATAATGTCACGTTCGGCTCGTTTTTGACGCCCTTGCATTTGCTTTCGTCGACATCAAAGTGCTCCACTGGGGGACGGGCTTTACGCCGCTGACTGATCTGCCCGGGTTCAGACGCAGCGTTGCCCTCTTCGTGTCCATCCCTCATCACAGCCTGAGCGCACAAACAGAGGGACAAGGCTGGGAACATGTTTACATTCAGATACAGTAAACAAGGGACAGGGCGGACGCGTGGTATTTGCAGAGCTTTTGATGCCGATAGAGACAGATGAAGAGGTAACTGTTTGACGGTGGTTGAGTTTATACGGATACAATGACGGTTTAGCACTTTACAGCCTCAGCCGTTGAATAAATGGCTGAAGCTGTATAGAGATCAAAGACAATTAGATCTCTCTGCAGCGAGAAAGTATTTGTGTTTTGTTTTTCAGCATGTAAAAAAAGCTGCAGACTGATTGATCCGTCAAAGATGCATTTCTGTCAGACAAAACCGTGAAAGCTCTCACATTAGACTGCGTGTGTGAAGATACTGTATACATTTAGGAAGGGGTTCAGAAGATTTACAGACTACTAGTACCGACCCTGTATGAAAATTCCGTCTTTAATGAATGGGAAAAAATATGGAAAAACATATGACTACCACAGAAAACCTTATTTTATAGTAACGTCATGGGTACTCACTAATAGGACTTGATCACAGATGTGAATGGTCAAAATGAGTATCCTCTGCTGAGCGGCTGGGCGCTCCTTTGTAAATAGTGATCTGTCGCACGGGAGGAGCTCGAGGTAGAGTTGCTGATCTTCCACATTGATAGAAGTCATTTGAGGTGGTTCTGGAATCTGTTTGATAGTCACCTGGAAGCCTCCCTGGTGAGTACCCAGGACATGCTGGAGCGACCATATCTTTCAGCTGGTCTGGGGAGACTTCGAGGAGCGTCATGGCAACGGACAACGGATAAAGCAGACGGAAAATGTATAAAAGAATGGAGAGCTTATGATCACTAAGATAGTAAGATTTGATGCTTCCTTTTGTTGGGTATAGTAAAAGCATTGTGACAACAGTAATTTAAACCTAAAGAACCTGTAATTGAACAATGCACTCTATGAAGTTTAGCCAGGTTGAAAGACTCCATGCACAGTTTAATCTATTCCTGCAGTTAAAGAAGACTAATTATAGATCAGGTTAGAAAAATACATGGTGAATGGATATAAAGCGGAGTGTGAGTGGATCACATATCAACTAGACAGGTGCACATTTGCCACAGATATTCAAATCCAAGAAGTTATAGAGTTCTGCTTAAAATTCTCCATTAATAAAATGGATTTCCTGGAGTCAGTCAACACTGTCAAATCATTAAAGTGTCTGAAGCCCCGTTATAACCACGCATGTTCTGGACTTATCATGTGCTCGTTCCATTTCCCTGCAGCCAGCACGCTTCATTGGCCTAATAGCACTCAAGGTCCATTCTTTCATTTCATGCACACGCATTAACACACTCCAGCAGACTCACCGACCACAATGGCATTAGATCAATTACCGATTGGACGACGGGGGCCCCTCCTCGCGGCTCTCCTCAGAAGTCGGCCTCTCCGGTCTCCTCGTAATTGGCCCCTAATCTCTGCTTTCCACTTGGCTTTTTTCTTTTCCTAGACAGTGGCTTTCCTCTGTCAGTGTGCGTGCATGGATAGCACTAAAACTATGCTTACAGGTCAATAGGGTAGAAAGAGGAATAAAGAGGGTGTTTGAAAAGTAGCAGCCAGATAAGATATCGTACCCTTGCATTGCATTTGCAAAGTCCATAGCATCACTGGTGAATGCAACAGAGTACCACATGCCTAAGAACTTGACTGGGTAATAAAGCAACATACATCTCAGTTTTTTTCTCTCCGTCAATGTTGAACACATCTTTCTGTAAATACATTCTTGTAACCGATAGCAACATCAGTGGAACGTGTGTTGCAGACGGATTGCGGGCGGAGCAGTCTGTGCAAAAATGTCCAGACATCCCTATCCACACAAACTCCCTCCAGCTCAGGCATCCTCTTGGTAGGACATGATACCTCTGGGAGGCATCCAAAACCGATGTCCGAGCCACCTCAACTGTTTGACTTGAGATGGAGGAGTAGCAGCTCTACTCTGAGATTCTCCTGTGTGACGTAGTTCTCAACTCAACCCTTTATATTCGTGATCTTTTCCTTTCACTCATTACCTAAGCTCATGACTATTGATGAGGGTGGGTACGCTTTGACCTTTTGCTCCTGAGTTCCTTCTTTACCACAACAGATACAGCAACCTATTTCATGATATAGTTTCTCTTACATACTTGATTACATTCATTCATTTTCATCCCAAGGCAATCAGAGCTGCCACCCAATGCTCATTGCACTGGCCCCTAACTGACCCTCCTGCAGGTAGTGGGTTTACAAGAACATGGCTGCTCCGTCAGTGAAGACACAATCTTTCTTGCCCAAGGACACAACGACCGCAGACTTCAGTGGGAGCAGATGACATGGGTTGTGGGGGAATCGAACCCATGCCCATCAGGTTCAAAGACCAATAATCAAGCAACTGAGCCACTCTCATTCCATTCAATTACACATTGCATACATTTTTTTGGTTCTCATGGTTCAACTAAAAATGTCATATGTTTATGGCAAAGGAAGGTTTCTCACCCATCATCTGTACTTCTTAGCAAGTTTTCCCGACGTTTCGTCCTTAAACTAGCGGACTTCTTCAGGGAATGAATTCTCGGACTGCGCGTTGGAGATTTATAACCTATGGGTGTGGTGAGCCAAACCCTAATCCTGATACTAACTCATAAACAATCTAAGGTCTGCTTGATGTAGAAGGGAGCAAATCTAGGCAAGGCAAGGCAAGGCAAGGCAAGTTTATTTGTATAGCACAATTCATACACAAGGCAATTCAAAGTGCTGAACAAAACAAGAAAGCATTAAAATCATAAATAATCACAGTACATAAAAAAAAAAAAAAAAAAAGATAAAAATATAAAATATAAAATCCCTCAGTTGTATGCACAGCTAAACAGAACTGTTTTCAACCTTGTCTTAAACATTGTCAGAGAGGAGGCCTGTCTCACTTCTTCAGGAAGACTGTTCCAGATTTTAGCAGCATGAATCTGAAAAGCAGCCTCCCCATGTTTAGTTCTGACTCTGGGCACTAACAGGAGTCCAGTCCCTGTGCTCCTCAGAGTCCGGGCTGGTTCATATGGGACTAACATGTCACTAATATAGTTTGGTGCGAGGCCATGGAGAGATTTGTAACAAGCAGAGCTGTTTTAAAGTCTATTCTCTGAGCCACAGGAAGCCAGTGCAGAGACCTGAGGACTGGACTAATATGGTCGTACTTCTTGGTTCTAGTCAGGACTCAAGCTGCTGCATTTTGAATGTACAGTACTGCAGCTGTTTTACAGCCTGTTTGGACAGACCTGTGAGCAGGCCATTGCAGTAGTCTAACCTACTGGAGACAAATGCATGGATAAGAATCTCCAAGTCTGCTTTAGACACTATGTTTTTGATCCTGGCAATGTTTTTTAGATGGTAAAAAGCTGCTGATGTTACTGATTTGATGTGGCTATTAAAATTTAAGTCTGAGTGCAGTATTACCCCTAGATTTCTGACCTTGTTTGAAGGTTTTAGGGAGAGAGACTGTAGGTGACAGATGACGCTCTCTCTTTGTTTCTGGGGACCAAAGACAATCATTTCAGTTTTGTCTGCGTTTAGCTGAAGGAAGTTGTTTTGCATCCACTCACTGATCTGTTGGATACAGTGAAGGAGTGAGTCCACTGGTCCATGTTCTCCTGCAGTCAGTGAGACATAGATCTGAGTGTCGTCTGCATAGTTGTGATAGGACACACATCTAACGACCCTGCTGAGGCTAACGACCCTAACTCATTAGCTTGTCACTGACCTTGTCCCAAATTAGGGCGTTGTTTTTAGGATGTCGTCATAGATGCGAGGCAAAACAAATCTTAACCCTCCTCCTCTGTTAAGAGAAGGTTTTTGTTTCCTCACAAAAATGGCTTCTTTCACCCCTCTCTCAAACCAAAGAAGCCATTTTTGTGAGGAAACAAAAACCTGTACGACTGAGGGCTTACACAAACTTGTCATATGTTTATGTATAAACGCTCGTTGGGCATTTGGTATACCACTAAAAAACATATATCATGCACCGTTATTCCTTCTTTCTCCTGCTGCCCCGGAGACACCACACTCCTCCACAACATCTCTTGACAGCAGTCCTAATTACTCCACACGCTGGGGCCATTAGCACAGCCCCTTAACCCCCCTATCCTTATCCATTCGTCCTCTAGTCTGCGTCTCTCCGTCTCTGGCCTCTGCTTCCTGCTCTCACGCTCAAAAGTGGCATTGTGCTTTGGTTTTGGAGCAAAGCGTTGGTGGAGAAAGGTCAGAGAGATGCAGCTCCGGGTGAAAGCCTTTGGGGTCAGGGCAGTCCAAGCGGAGACGCACTTAGCGCTCATGCAGCCACAATCACCAGGCGCATGTTTCTTATCTCAGTGTATGATTTATAGTGAAAGACTTCTTCTGGGTGCATTCCACTCAATTTACTTTCTGAAAAACAAAATTGATGATAATATATTTACTTGTATTTAGAATGTATGTAGTATTTCAGTTATATCCCCATCAGAAAGTGAAAGGAATTTGAAGTCCAAAACGAAGTAAAAGCTCCGAAAGTAACATTCCCCATTCAAAAGCCAAAAAAATCAATATAGTTTGAAGAAACGACAGAGGCTAACTAGCTGTGGTGTCGGCGTAGAGGTTTTCAGCCAAAAAAGCACAATTATACTTAAAATACATCAAATGTGTTTACCACTTTCTGATTTTTAACGATTTAAAAAAACACTTATATCTGAATGTAGATCTTGTGGTCCTTACTGATCAGCCCTGAACACGTTTTCACTCTTTTCTATTATATCTGATTGGCTGCTGCAGAGGTAATCCCCCCACTTTTGTGAGTAAAAAGCTGCTCTTTGGTTCTGCTTGCAGCAAAACGTGAATACTTACAATGTATCAAATAGTAGAGGGTAAAATATGGTGCACTCTGAAACTCTTCTGGTGCACTGTCTTCCATTTATTTCTGTTCAACTGATGTTTAGTCTGAAATGATTTACTGTTTGGAATTAAACTCATTCATCTACTCCCAAGTACATGACA